ACTAGTCACCAATTAAACGAATGAATAGTCCAACTAAACCCATGAACATTGATGTAAAAATTACGATAAAAATATCAAAATCTTTACTTAATTTCGAAGTAGTAACTACGAAAAGCTCACATCAGATAATTTCCTTTGAAATTTAAAGGAGATGAAATTTGTTCTTTAATTATAAGACAAATAATATTGTACATTGTTTTGTTACTAGTTCCAACTACGTAGAGACTTTTTTTTCTAAATAATATCTAAGCATGATATACCCTTTTTTATTAATATATTTTATATTTTTTTATTAATATACTCATATTCTTTTATCAACTTTAAAAAATATCATTAGAATTTATTACTTATAACTAGAAAAAATTGATATGAAATATTAACTAAATAAAAATTATATAAATTTCTAGATAAAATATAAGAGATTCCAATATTTTCCTTTAAAATTAATTATTATATTCACGTATTATAAAATTAATTACTTATAAGTAGCATGCTATTTAAGAGTGAATCAATAAGTGATATGTATGGATATTTATAATTTTTTAGCACAAAAGGTGCACCTTCCCTACGAAAGGTGCGCGCTAGGCTCCTTGTCCTTGTGCCTTAGCTCCAGGGGCCTTTTACACTTCAGTGCACCTTGCACCCTTAAAAACCAAGCTCTAAACGTGCACAATGTTATTTAGCCTTGATTGATAACATATCATAAAACTATTCGAATAAACTATCACATAGATGAAGAAAATTATAAAAAAAAATGACATGCAAAAAGTAGAAAAATAAAGGGTAAAGTACACAAATAGTCCTCCAATTAGAATATTATTTTATTAAGTCTCTCGACTATTAAAGTTACAAAATGGTCCTCTAACTATAGAGTGTTGCTTTGTTGAGTCCCTCAACTATTAAAAGTTACAAAATGGTCACCTGACTATTTATTATGTTCTAATCTTGTCCTTTTTCGTTAAAAATTAATGGTATTTTGAGCTAAACGTTAACATAATGACTGTGAAATGATAAAATATAATCCCAAAATCTCAAATGACTATCATATCTCATCCATCATATTAACATCCAGCTTAGACAACCGTCAATTTTTTTTAACAAATAAAGACGAGTTTGGAACATAATAAATAGTCGAGGTGACCATTTTGTAACTTTTAATAGTCGAGAGACTTAACAAAGTAACATTCTATAGTTGAAGAATCATTTTATAACTTTTAATAGTCGACAGACTTAATAAAGCATTACTATATTGTTGGAGACCATTTGTGTACTATACCAAAAAATAAAAGAGAAAGTACTTAAAATGAGCAGTGTTCCAAAATTTATACTTTTAGGAATACATGTTAACACCCCGAATATTGGTCTAATAGCTTCGTGTCGACCTAATAATTTATTTAATAGATTTATTATAGCATGAAAGTCCATTGGTTCGAATTTGAGTTTAATCGGGTAAGAAATTAGCCTTGTAAAAGATAAAAAGATGATTTTTAAGCTTAGAAAGAGTATAAAAGGACATATAGTGTAATTTTACCTTTGAAGAAAAATATGGTTGATTTGGGGTGATTCTTTCCTATTTTAGCTGTAGGGTTTGTGATGAGTAAAAAATGACTTATTTCCTTCTTTCTCTTCTCCTATTCCTTCTATTTCTTTCTTCTCTTTCTCTCCACTTAAACAATAACAAAAGAAAAATGATTCATCTTTCTTCATCTCTTTCTTTAATCCAAAATATAGAGGTAAGATTCCTAATCTAGAGTGTGATAATCGGCTTTTGGGCGGAAAACCAACTATCGATATTTTTGAAAACGGTTTATAAAAATTTAGAAGTCGCCACCAATCATTTTCAAGGAGCGATTGGAACTCCTAAAATTAGGTAATTTTAATGAAACATTTTTATTTTATAAAAAATACCCAGTTTTGGTATGTGAAATCAGAAATCATGTTCGAGAGTTGGTTACGCGTGGGGAATGATTAACACCCCCACAACGCCCAAAATTGGTACCTAGTCGATTACCTTATATTTTAAAATTGAAATTTTTGAGTTCAAAATTTTATTTAATCCAAAATCCACTATGTATGCAAAATTTTAAAAAGATGTCGATTTACCAAGACCAATAATGACCACCCCTAAGCATAAGTCGAAGCTTCGTTATCAATCTCAATAAATGAACATTGCCTTAATTTAAAAAATATGATGCAGAGGTTAAAAAGGACGTCGATTTACTTCGGAGGTTAATAGCGGTCACCCCCAAGCAATGGCGGAGGATACACTATTAATCACCCAAATAAATTAACACTTTCTTGATTTTAAAATCGAAATGCAATCAAACAATTTAATATTAAACCTAATAACACTAAATGGTTAATTAAGATAATCCTCTAACCTAGAGTGTTAAATTATGAAATTCAAAGAACTTAAGGGACTAAACCTAAAAATGTAGTATCTAATATTAATCCTATTCAATTTAACCAATTGTTTGAATAGAATAATCGAGGAGAACCTTTATGCATTTAATGCGAGGACCAAATCGAATATTCCCTAAATTAAAGTAATATTTCATTCCTTTTAATTTCCTCTGGAGCCCCGTAAAACCCAGTACAACGCCATCTCTTTCCTTCAGAATCCTCCTTTATGATTACATCTATGTGAGATCTTGAGAAAGATCTTGGTATTACTTGAACTGAACTTTTCCAGGCGAAACACAATCCTCCACTACTGCCAATTGAGTCTACTTCGATTCCATTCACGAACCCCGCTGACTTGCGTATGTTTGTCATTCGCGAACTCTGTAATTTTGTTTCAAGTAAGAAAATTACAGACGGGTTGATGTCTCTCAGTATATGCCGGAGACGGCCAACCGTCCGAGGTTTCCCTAAACCCCGGACGTTCCAGCTTAGGAGCTTCATTGTGCCCGGCTGGCCTGGGTCCTCAGACCTGCCGATACAGATTTATTATCACTCATAGAATCTCTTTTCGGTGAATTTGAAATTGTCAACTGTGAACTTCTTTATCGTTTAACTGTATCGTTAGTGCGTCATCTTCCTCCTCGTCCAGGTTTAAATTATTTAATTCACTTTCCAGATCTCCCATTATTGTCGAACACCTTTGTCTTCTTTGAATCGTTAATTGATGTTGACACGATAGTTGTTGCTGTATCGCAGAAGGCAAAACCTGAGAACAAGTATTTAGGGATTTGAGATAACGGCAAAGGCAATGAACAGTCAATAAGTGAGCGGTGATAGGTATGTGGTCTTTCGACAACAGAGATGGTAGTCGAAGACGACTGTTGATGACTGAAAATGAGTTTGAAATTAAAAATTTTAAGGTTATTTTATAATTGTAAAGAAATTTGAGGATTTTTATAAATAAATTATAATTTTAAGTTTTCTATTTTAAAATATTTTTTTAATTTTATTAATTTGACACGTATTAGAAAATGTCGAATTTAATAAATGTTATAATTGATGCACTTAAAAATGTAAAATCAGAAACGTTAAACGCCTATTTTGAATGTTTTTTTGTTGCTAATATAGAAACACCGACTTAGCTAGAGCTCACAATATCCTGCTGTAGCACCGCAGACAGCTCTATCGGCGACACTAAAAACTCGTTAACTCCTGGTGGAGCAGCACGGCGGAGAGCAGCCAAACAATCGGCAACACTGTTCTGTTCTCGACAAATATTACGCTCCCTTAACTCAAACAACGCGTCCACAATAGATTTATCACGAAGAGTGGGGCTGTAAACGAGCCGAGTCGAGTTCGAGTATTGCTGAGCTCGACTCGAATTCAAAAAGTTTAAAATTAGACTCAACTCGACTCGAAAACTCGCAATCTAAAAATCATCAAGCTCAGCTCGAACTCGAAATATAATATTGAAACTCGATTCGAACTTGAAAAGTCTCGAATCCAAAAAAAAATTCAGGAGCTCGATTGAAGCTCGAGACTCGAGCTCGATTGAAGGTCGATTTTGAGCTCGAACTCAAACTCGAATTTGAACCTACAAAAATCTTATATTACATTTAAAAATATATTTTTAAAAATTTATACTTATCAATAATGTATTTTTAATAATGTAATTTTAAAAAATTCTAAAATTATAATATAACATTTTTTTTCGAGTAGCTCGTGAGTTTTTCGAGTCGAGTATTAAGTAACTCGTTAAGAATTCGAGTTCGAGCTCGAGTCGAGTTCATTCGATTCGAGTGTTGATCGAACTTTGACTGAGTCGATCTCGAGTAATTCACGATTTATCTCGTCTCATTTACAGTCCTAACGAAGAGCATTGAAAGAATTTGACCAAATTTTGGTTACCTCGACATTATCGTTTCCAATTCGACCTGTCGATACCCTGAACGAATTTTTTAAACATTTATTATTAATACCCTGAACGAATTTTTTAAACATTTATTATTAATTTTGGATATAATGTAGACGTTTATTTTTTATTAAATTTTAATAAAAATTCAAATATATATTATTTATAAATTTTAAAGTAGGACTACGTCCCAACACTAATTTATCTATTCTGGTTGACATTATAACTTTTAGACTAATCAATTAGTCTAGTGAGATGAGGCACTAGGTTTTTTAAGCAAGGTCAGGGGATTCGAATCCTGACGTTTTCGAATGGAGCAAACTGGGTTTGGAGGACCGTCCTCGCCTCTGCAGTATTCAATATGAATTAGTCGATCAATAAAATATCAATGATTAATTAAAAAAAATAGCAGCCGGTCAGAGGTTCGAATCCTAATTTTTACGAATAGAGCAAATTGGATTTAGAAGATCGTCCTCACCTCTACAGTATTCGATATGAATTAATCGATGAATATCAATTATTAATTAAAAAAAAAGCAGCCGGTCAGGAAAGTCACTTTTATGTTATGTTATGTGTGATGTCATTCTCTATTTTAATTTGACATTATATTTTAAAATGTAAATAAGAATTGCATTATTTTATACTATATGATTTACTATTACCATATATCCAATCATTTTGCCATCATTTTGGATTAGCTTCCATCTCTGACAATCGTATGCAAACCACATAAGCTAGTACAATTGACTTCCCATGGGGGAATCAGCCGATCGCCGCCGTTCCATTGATCCGACCAACGGCTTTTGCCGCCAAACGAGAACCTTCCATAGTCTCAGACCAGAAGTACCTCTCCCACCGCCTTCTCAGCTTCTCTCCCTCCCTCAGTTCACCCTTTCCCTCCTCCGCTCCTCCGCCACCGCCTCCGACGGAGACACCACTTTCGCCGTCAACGCTACTAACGGCCACAGCATCTCGTACTCCGAATTCATCGCTCAGTTCCTTTCCCTCGCTCACTCGCTCCAGAAAAATTATTCCCTTTCCCGAAACGACGTCGCTTTTATCCTCTCCCCGCCATCTCTCCATGTCCCTCTGCTCTATTTCGCTCTCATGTCGTTAGGAGTCGTTATTTCTCCCGTCAACCCGCTCAGTTCTGACTCGGAGATTGCTCACCAGGTTCAACTCACTAAACCTGTTATTGCCTTCGCCACCTCTAAGACCTCTTCCAAGCTTCCTTCTCTCAAACTCGGAACAATCATTCTCGACTCGCCCGAGTTCATCTCTTTCTTATCTAAACAAGATGTTGATCATGACGTCATTAACCGAGTCCAGGTGAGTCAGCATGACACGGCGGCGATCTTTTATTCTTCGGGGACTACCGGGCGAGTCAAAGGCGTGATGCTTAGTCATCGGAATCTAATCGCGATGATTGCCGGATTTAACCACAGCCGGCACGGCCAAAAGGATACGAGAGCACCATCACGTACGGTGTCGTTTTTCACGGTGCCTCTGTTTCATGTGTACGGCTTCTTTATGATGGTGGGGGTGTTTTCAATGGGAGAAACGGCGATTTTCACTGAGAGATTTGATTTTGAAGGAATGTTGAGAGCCATAGAGAAGTACAAGGTTACTTACATGCCAGTTTCGCCACCGCTTGTGGTGGCGCTAACTAAATCAGATTTGACTAAAAAGTACGATCTCAGCTCGCTTACGAAGCTCGGATGCGGTGGCGCTCCGCTTGGCAAGGAGGTTACTGAGCTGTTCAAGGAGAAATTTCCTACCGTCGAACTTAATCAAGTAAGAAACTGTAGCATCTAGATAAGATCATATGCACACTCAACATTCACAAATTTTCCAAAGAATATAATCTTTAATAGTAACCCATTGCTTTTTTTATGGAAAATTTCAATCATAATCTTGAATAACGTAGAATCCAAGAAAATATTCAGTGCTAAATTTTACTAAGTTCATGATGTGGTTGAATAATGGAGGTAAGATGCTCCTGTAATTAGGCGATCCTTTATGCACTAATTCCCCAATCATAATCTTGAATTACATAGATCATACGAAAATTTTAGCTGAAATATCCATTCTCGTAACTGCTGAATTTTACAGTAATTTTCTGTGTTGTGATTGAATAATTGCAGGTAAAATAGTCCTGTGTTTAGTTTATGCTTTTGTGCAGCAATGATCTCTATCTATATGATTACATTTCATTGTCATTCAATAAATTAGGGATGTAATGAAGGTGATTGTTAATACCGTCCGTAAGTTAAATTCAGTTAGTTCATATGTATTCTATGGGTTTAGGGTCTTTGTTTCATATTGGCAACCTCTTTCTTTATCCTACTGACTAATTATTTTGATTGGTTTTCTTGTGGAAAGGGATATGGTCTGACTGAGACAGGAGGAGGAGCCGCCAGGGCGGAAGGGCCAGAGGAGGCAGCTCGTTATGGGACAGTCGGCCGTCTTTCCGAAAATACAGAAGCTAAGATAGTTGATCCGGTGACTGGAGAGGCCTTGCCTCCTGGGCAGAGAGGGGAACTCTGGTTGCGAGGGCCAACAGTAATGAAAGGTATCGACTTTTCTTGCCTTTTATTTTGTGAATGTCTCATAGCTAGAAAGTAGCAATGGAAAGTTGGGGTTTCCCCCCATGAAGTTTGGTTGTTTTATGTTCTTTTAAGGCTTATACATGTGCTTTCAATATGTTTGGTAAGTGGTAAACGTGCTGGGTTGAGTAGCAGATTCAAAAATATTTTGAACGATAAACACAAATATATTAATAACATAAAATTTTTGCATGGGATTAACACAAATAAATTTTTAAGTGGACACCATCAATAAAATAGATAGATAACATAAAAAGATTCGGTTCTAAGTAACACTTGCATCTGCCACTAATTGGGATGAAAAATAGAAGAAAAGAAAACGAAACTCGATTCGAATTATAATGTTTGGTTCCGTAATAGTTTAACATATTTGGTTCACAAGTTAAAAACTGTAATTCGCATTGGTTTGATTATATGTGACATGTTTCTAAGTTGTGGTTTCTTTCTAAAAATGAGAGTGAATAAGAGTATTGTGTATATTCTTTTTTTCATTGGAAGCACTGAGCTGCTATATGATGAATACACAATCCATTAATAAATATGCTATACAATCGAGTGGAAATTCTGTTTTTGATCTGTTACATGTTAGATGCATGCCCATATGTGATACTTCCACTTGACTGCTTGAGTCTCAAAAACATTTGTTTCCAATCCTTTCCATATGCTTGTAGGTAGGATGGTGGGTCGGGTAGGGTTTTTGGCTCCCCGTACCCGACCCAAATATTACACCTTTCATCCATACTTGACTCTTCTTGACCCGATTGGGGTAAAATTCACACTTGAATCGATGAGACACAAATATATATAATCATTTTTATTTGTAAAATAGGGATATAATTGAAAAAATATAGACTGATATTATTAATCTCAAATATATACGAAATAATATAATATTATTTTGGGTCAGGTTAAATTGTTTTTTTTACCATAAACTTAAACCCGATCCAAATTTGACTTCATCTTTCAAAAAAACTGGATATGAACTCGTATTTTTTTTTAAAAAAAAGAGAGAAGAAAACTGACCCCCTATAATAATGTCAGGTTAAAACTCATTGAGTTCAGGTCAAATAATTAGGGGTGTTCAAAATTTCGGTTAACCGGTTAAATCGACCGAACCAAATTTTGTTTGGTTAATCGGTCGGTTAATTTTAGGTTCGGTCGGTCAACGGTTAAAGATTTTTTCAAAGTTCGTTTATCGGCTAACCATGTTTGAAATAAGTTAATTAACCGAAATTTTTAAATATTTAATATACTATTTATATTATTTATATATTAATAGCTTTAGGAGTGTTTAAATTTTAGTTTTAACCGAATTAATCAATCGAATTAACCAAATTAACTGAATTAGCTAAAAATATATATTTAATATATATTATTTAAAATTTCGGCTAATTCGAAATTTTTTCGGTTCGATTAACGGTTAAAGCAAAAAAGTTTCAGTTAATGAATTATGAAAGTTCGGTTCGATAGGTTAACCGAACAGACCGATTGAACACCCCTACAAATAACCATCCCTAGTTGTAGGATATGCATTCCTTCTAGGGCAAGGTGTAGGAATTAGGATGGTGGAGATCAATGCTTTGCCCCTAAGCTTTCCACCATCCCATATGTTGCTTAGATTTCCATGTGAATACGCATCTAACATGACTATATTCCTTATTATCTTTGAGGACTATATCCTCGTATCGTATATGAAAATATGCTAGACGAATATCAAACTCGAATACTTTCAATTAACAAAAGTTGCATAGACTTTCCTCTTTAATATTTCACAAACTTGAAGCTCCTATAGAAGATCAATTTCATAAGTGAAATCTATGGTGTAATACAGGGTATGTAGGCAATGAAAAGGCAACCGCTGAAACTGTGGATTCAGACGGGTGGTTAAAAACCGGTGACATTTGTTATTTCGATTCCGAAGGGTTTCTGTACATTGTAGATAGATTAAAAGAACTGATCAAATACAAGGCATATCAGTGAATGATGAGTTCCCCCTGTGTTTGATCTATAATCTTTTATGGACTGAAGAATCTCATTTTATCCCATCCAAATTGCAGGTCCCTCCTGCTGAATTGGAACATTTGCTTCATTCCCATCCTGAAATAACCGATGCAGCCGTGATTCCGTATGTATTGCATTTATGTTGCTTTAACTCTTTTTTTTCTTGAAGTATTTATGATCTATTAGACCCACATCCAAATATAGAAATCTTAAGAAAATAAATTAAACGTACCTATGTCAGATACATTTCGTTGGGTATAATACATCAACCACAATGATAATCATGGAATTGTTGTAGCTCCTCCAGACCTCTTTCGGAATTCATACTTCTGCTGTTATTCTTCTGTCTGTTGAACCCTGATGCTTCCGGGGTTCATTGAAGCTTTAGGAGCTCTGTATCCTTAGGACAGTTACAGCCCCGTGACATGATCGTTAATAAACCCACTTGATCTACAATCTACTATTTGCCAGTTAGATCTACTTAGCATGACAACCAACACTGACTGCATCATTTGTTGAGTGGAGAAATAGCTATGATCATCCTAAATATGACACCAACACTGAGGGGCTATATATAAACTATCATACAAAGCCAGAGATGAGATTCTCTCTCAATCTCAATCTTTTTTGGCCTTTATCATTGTTCATCATTCTTGAGATCAACTATTCTCTATTTCATTCATAGAACTATCATCCACACTGACTGCATCATTTGTTGAGTGGAGAAATAAGATTGTGGTGGTGTTTGACCATTTATCCCTCGTGTCCATTTGATAGCTTTGTTATTAGGAGTTTTCATTTTCCTTGAAGTGTCTCACATATTCGGATGCATTTGGAGGAACAACATAGAAAGCAAATTGAACACATTTGTATCCGACGCATACTCGTATCCAGCATTCACACACGAGTCCAATTAACATTGTTTGATAATATGGCTGTGTTTTACGGTTTATAAGTTGATCTAGATTTAGTAATGGAGCTTGGAATTCTGGAATCAATTTGTTAAATCTGGAAACAGGTACCCTGATGAAGAAGCCGGGCAGATTCCTATGGCCTATGTAGTGAGAAAACCTGGAAGCAGCATCACCGAGGCTCAAGTCATTGATTACATTGCAAAACAGGCAAGGACGAACATAAGATTTTATGTTAGGGGATGAATTTGAACTTTTAAAATTATAAGGGATGAACTTTTAACTTATAAAAATTCAGGGTGCGAAAACAGATTTTTAATAAAAATACATAAGAAAAAAATCTAAAATATATGGTAATTTTAAATTTTCAAGGGTCCTTAAAACGGACATGTTTCTAAGATAACAAGAGGGAATTAGTCTTTGGCTACTTAATTGAACTTTTCCGGCGAATCTAATTCCGGGACATTGATTCCGTTTCCCGCAGGTAGCGCCGTACAAGAAGATCCGGCGTGTTGCTTTTACCGATTCGATTCCTAAAAATCCGGCCGGAAAGATCTTGAGGAAGGAACTGATAAATCATTCATTATCTGGTGGTGTGTCTAAACTGTAATACCATCCATATCTGGAACTTTTGAACCCCATTCCATATCTCTTTAGATGCATCGCACGAATTGCACCAATAAGTTCTCGATGGAATCGGAAGTTCATGTTTTCATGTTATATTTAGATGAATACATGCAGTGCATTCCAACACAAAACACCATATAAAGAAGAATTCTTACAGCCTATACAGCCAACCTTTACAAATAATCAAAGAATAACCAGCAATAGAAAAAACAGAGCCAAGCCAAAACTCAACCCAAAAGGTTCCACGCAGCACAGAGGCCACCATTAATCGGGCCCCAGACTTGATTCTTTTTTCACCATTTTTATTTTATTTTATGTATCTACGGTGGGGATTAGGGATGAGAATGAGATCTAAACCCGATGGATTTGGACCCGATCGGGTTGGGTATTTAAAAAAAATTCGGGTTCGGGTCTGGTTGGAATCCGTTTCAGGGTGAAAATATCCACCCGATCCGAAAAAAATATAATTTTATCTTATATATTTAAAAATAATTACAATAATACCCATCTATATATTATTATTTTTAATTAAATCATTTTTTTTAATGAATAAAAATAATATTTTTTATTATTTTAGGTCGGGTTCGGATTTTATCTCAAGAAAGTCGATCAGGTCGGATCAGATTTCGGGCATTGTTCTCAGGTCGGGTCGGGTGGACCAAAAATCCGACCCAACCCGACCCATGCCCATCCTATTGGGGATTAAATCCTACAGCTGTTATAATTCTTCGTAAATCTCTATCACCTTTCAAGTTTAAATTATAAAAAAAATTAATAAAAATTGCATGAAATAATCAAGGATTTCTAGTAGAATAAGGCGTTAAATCTTTTAAGTAAGATTAATGATTATTTGATCAGAATTAATGGATTTATAAATTAGATGTCACTAGTTGGTAAAAAGAATGACTAAGATTATAACAGCTGTAGGATTTAATCCCCACCGTAGATACAGAAAATAAAAAAAATTGCCTAACCGTTAGATTTCATCAACTATATCAATGGTGGGAATGAGTTGAAATAGCAGCGGGTAGAGCAGGTTTTTGGGCCTTTTAGCAGAGAAAACTCGAATGCTTAGCCCATCAACTTCCGCAATTTCTCTCTCTTTCTTTCATTTTCGCTCACTTTCTCTCTCTATATTTGCTTCCTCTGCGAATCCAAGATTCGTCGATGAGAGAGAAGGGGGAGGGGGAATTTCAGTCTCTCTCTAGGGTTTCTGTTTGAGGGAATCAGCGGCACTTTTGCTGAATCCAGGTTTTTGAAATTCGAGATTGTGGTGGAGCTGATTTTTGGTTTCATCCGATCGCATTTCAAAAGGGTTTATGCTCGAAATGAGCTTAGATTAGTTTTTTTTTTATAGTTTCCTTTTTCTGTACTTGGTAAGTATTGAATCTTTCATATTTTCTCTAATAATTCCTCCTCGCCGAGACCAATTCGTTTCAAGTATTTGTTTGATAACGAGGGAAAAAGAAGAAGTCAACTTTGAGGTTTTGAGCTGCAAAGAAAGGGAAGTAAAATAGCTTTAGGGCTTGTTGAAAGGGAATTGATTTGGAACTTATGAAGAAAGTTTTATAATTTTGGTGTCTTCATTAGGGTTTAATTGAACATTCTATTATTTGGTGAATGTGAACCCTAGGTTCAATTGATGTTTAACCGAATAAATGAACGAACAAAAATGAATAAAAAATTTATTATTCGTGTTCGTTCATTTAAATGATAAACGTACACAATAAACGAACGAACGTAAACGAACACAATAAATAAATATAAACGAACATAAATGAAAATAGATTTTTTTTTATTTTCAATTTTAGGATTATATTTTTTTAATTGTTTTGAGTTTTATTTATTTGTATTTAAAATTAATTGAATATTAAAATATTTATGGGTATCAAATTAAAATTTATTAGACTTTAATATTTTAAATGAGTCCAGAGAGATTAAGTTAAACATAAATGAACGCACATAAACAAAAAAACATAAACGAATGAATATAAACGAACATATTACCGAACGTTCACAAACGTAAATGAACGAATGAGCCATCTATTCATGTTCGTTCATTTAATTAAACGAATACAAAATCTTGTTCATGTTCATTCGTTTAATTAATAAATCAACATAAACGAATTTTCCGCCGAACTATTCACTGAACATTCGGTTTGTAAATCGGTTTGTTTACAGGACTAGCCTTATGCATGTAGGTGCACCATGGTCAAAGAGCCAAAATTAACATCTATTTCCTGGATGGAGCCCAGGGTGAGAAAGGTGATCCGGAGAAACTGCGGATGGAGAGGGAGGAACTTGAAAGGTGGCAGAGAAAGGTTGACCTTTTTCCTGGATTAATGTTCATTTGGTAATGTAGGTTCTCTACCCCCTCCCCACCCCAAATGATACCTTTTACTCCGATTTCAGAAAAAGCACGACTGCAAGCGGAGGCCAAAATTGCAGAAGAGGCGAAGAAAAAAGCTGAAGCTGAAGCTGTTGTTGAAGCTGGAGGTTGCACAAAAAAATCCGAATATTCGATTTTGCGTAAAAAAATATCCGAAATCAGATTTACGAAAAACCGATTTTTTTTTAAATCGGATCGGATATTTTAAAACTAGATAGTATAACCGGTTTGAGAAAAAATTGGACGACCGGATTAAAAATCGGTTTGAAAAAAAAAATGGATAAAAAATTGGTTTTTTATCTGGAAAAAAAATCCGGTATGGGGTTTAAAAATCCGGTCTGGGATTTAAAAAATTGAATGACCGGATTTTTTACAGGATTAAAAACCGATTTTTTTCAAACCGAAACCGATTATACCGGTTACATCATCCGGGCCTCCAAACCGGTTATAATCCGAACCAGTTTTTTTTATAGGGAGCTGGAGAGAGAAGCCGCACGTCGGGCTCTTTTAAAGGTAAATCAAGATATCATACTATGTATAAGCTGAGGTGGTGCCATGTTGTCAGTCAATGTTATCGGACTCGGGTGTGGGTATTCTTCATTGGTATATTCAATTATTTTTGCTGTTTTCTCATGTATGCGTAGTCCTTGTAAGTCAAACACGGTTGCTTCAGTATCGATAAAGGTTTATGCCATCTGCAGGTGGAGAAGACAGTGGACATCAACGAGAACGGTCGATTTATGGAAGACCTAGAGATGCTTAGGGCAACCAACGGTGAAAGTGTGCCTGATTTCATGGAGGAGACGACTAGCCCAAGTCATTCTCAAAAAGAGTTGGGAAGTTTCAATCTCTCGAACAACTAGGTTTATACATGAAGGTGGACGAGGAGGAGGAAGAAGAAGAAGATAAATTATTATTTTAATAAAAAGAATATAAAATATTTATCCTATGGATTCTCATCCATCACACATAAGTCATTATTTTAACTGTCACATTTTTTAAAAATTTAATAAAACATAATAATGTTGAATTAGTAAATATAATATAATTTCAACATGAATTTAAAAAATAGAACCCTTACATAATAATTATATACAAACGATGTTTCGAATACAATATAAATACAAAATCAAAAATCAATTAATACATGCAACATCAAAATTATTTTTATTTAAATCTAAATTTTTTATATATCCTATTCAAAATTTATTGAAAGATCAATAAATGAATTTCACTCAACAAATCTCTTTAACATTCCTCAACACCTATAATTTAGGGTTGTAAATAAGACGACAGATCGCGAACTACTCGAGATCGACTCGATCAAGGCTCGATATATACTTTGATCAAATGGACTCGATTCGAGCTCGACTCGAGTTCTTAACGAGCCGAAACGAACTACTTAATATTCGACTCGAAAAGCTCGTGAGCAGCTTGAAAATATAATAAATTAAGATTTTATTTTTTTAAAAAATAAATTATTAATAATATTAACATTTATGTATTGATTTTTTAAAAAATATATTAAGATTTTCATGTATTTAAGGTTCAGGTTCGAGTTCGAGGCTTCAACTAATTAAGTTTAAGATTTTTTTTTTCATTTCAAGCTACTCACGAGCTTCAATTCAGGATTTCGAGTTCGGGTCGAACTTAAAAATTTTAAACTCGCGAATTTTCGAGTCGAGTTAAGCCATTTTAAAGTTTTTCGAATCAGTCGAGCTCAACAATACTCGAGCTCGACTTGACTCATTTACACCCCTATACATTATAATTTCCATCCAAAATAACATTAAAACTATACCTTCAACAGTAACCCTTATTAAATCGTAAATTACAGCGTTATTATTGAAGTCTAACCTACAAAATAAATAATATAGAAAACTGGGACTTTAACTAAAAGATTGGTTACAAAGCAGAAGCGTACCTGAATTAATTGCACGTCGTTGACTCCACGTTTCGAGGAGTAAAGATTCGTCACAATTAGGCTTTACATAATCATCCAAATCCAACTTCATCATCTTCTTATTTGAAGAAGAGATTTGGGTTTGGTAATTTACACCGCCTGATTCTGCAATACTTTTTGAAGGTCGACAGTGGCTAAATTCAGGGCTCCAACTCCCTCGGCTGCTGCTCGTCAATCGGTCACTTATATCTTGCGCACTCGACGCTTCCTATATCATGTCAATGCAGTATACATATACAACACACAATCAACTCAACTTTGCATTTCTCAGTCACTTGGTAATTGGAAGCAAACATCACAATGTCATTAGGGGTGATCATGGGTCGGACCGAGCTAGGTTTTTGGCCCATCCGAACTACTTGATTTGAGTCAATAATTACGTTTCAAATGTGAAATTTTTGCTAAAAATGAATTGTTTGGGATTTTTTTTTTCATTTCAAACATATTTTGGACTAAAAGCACTTTCATAACCATTCTCAAACTGCCCCTTAATTGAAAAATATATATATAGGGCCCTAAATATATAAAGAACAATTATATTATTATTTACCATAAATTTGTACCCGACCTAACTTAATCTTATTCTTTAAAAAATTCAATCCGATCCAATCTAAACTCTTTTTAAAGAAAACCTAACCTTATAAAATCGAGTCCGATCCCATCGAATTCAGGTCAGATATCGATCCCTAAATGATACTCAGACTTGGACTGTTAGATACGTCCTTGTATGCATCACAACTT